ATTCTAGCAGTTCACTCTAGCTGCGTGGATGATTTTTTCGCATTTCAAGGTTCACGGTTTTGGCAAAGAAAAGGAGTTATTGTTGGTCTGATGCCTATTTGCGCTTGTTATAATATTTCCAGGTGGAGGAGCGTTTCTGCCCAAAGACCTTGGGCAGATTCAATAACAGTGTTTTCTCCAAGGACTATACGTGTGTGTGTGTGTGTGTGTTAGTGCACATACAAGTACAGTATGTGTTGCGTGGAAAGCTAAAGCAGGGTTATATATATACTGCACATGTTACACACCCCAGCAGTTTCAGTTCCAATTAGGGGAGGTTGGAGTAGCCGGGGAGAAATAATGTCAAATGAGCAAAACAAAGGCAGCTCAGGGGGTTTGCAGGGTCTTTATGAGGTTAGTTATGATGATAGATGGAAAGGTGCTGGCAACGAGCGATTCACAGCCTGGCTAACATTACAATAAAGTGCAAACTTGAGCCACCGCGTTATCGTAGCTGCATCACGAGGTTTGAAATCAATTATCACATAAAGCGATGTTATTATATGAAAAAATAAATAAAGAATAGATTTGTGGGTTCACTGTATTGTCAACCCATTTTCCAGGAATTGTTTATTACATTCTGACAATATTGCAACATATCATGGAGCTGCTGCTGCATTATCAGCCACTACAGAGCTGGCTCATGCTCCGAGTCCAATTATATCAGATCCTCAACAAACAGTTGCATCACAAGCGTTCATCCACTGACCTCAGCGCTAGCAGCTGAGTCACCAAGTGAAGGTGAAAGTAGAGAGGATTGATTATCCAGGCGTGGTGGTGCGAGCGAGTGCTAGTCAACAGTGACAGTCGACCGGCGTGACTCAGAAGCGGGGACGGAGGCGCGCCGTGCAGATGGTGTGAGATAACTCGCCGAGAATGTACGTGCCTGTGATTACAGAGGACAGAGGGTGTCTGCCGATGCGCTTGTGTGCATGTTGGCGGAAACCATATGAATTCCCCCTGGTTCAAACGCATACATAAACATGGATTACAGTGTGTACAGTGCGGTTTTGTGTTCTGATGAAATGCAGGCACAACATTAGAAATGCTTTGCTGATGCTACAGTAGGTCACAGTTTTAACATTTGTAACTGTGGTAACCCCTGCGTGCTGCTAATTTAACCCCTTATTGATTGAGCAGTGAGCAGCAGTAAGCTGTTTTTCCTTGCGTACTGCAGAATAAGTTAGACTGTCCATGTCAAGAAGCCAACAGAAAACACCATCGGGCAGTCTTTATTGAATTAATGCAAACAGTGGAAGTAGAACTGGAAGAAGGA